CATCGCCTCTCCCTCCCCCGTCAGTCTCTGTACCTTCTCCACCACCAGTCCAACAGAATGAGGAAGAAGTCAGTCTAAATGATCTTTCTTCTGATCAGCATATGCCGCAATCCTCCTACCAGCAGGCTTCAACTGCAGCCACCTCCTCACCCCCCTCCACCTCGCCACCAGTCATCCCATCGTCACCCCTGTTCAACCTTCCCTTCGGCCAATCGACCCCGCCCCCGTCCACCACACCTCCCCCATCATCCTGTGATCAGGATCAGGAACCTGAAGCTGGGTTGCCTTACTTTTCCACTTTATCCTCCTCACCCTCTTCATTGTCCTCTCACCCACCATCACCTCCAACGCCAGAGGAGGCCCCTCAATCCCAGCGTCTTACCTCCCTTCACCTGGCAAAGAAGCAGGCTGATGCTGCCATCGCTGGGGAGAGTGAAGAAGAAAACAGTGAGAGTGGAGGTGAGGGAATCTTCCGTGAGCGGGACGAGTTTGTGGTGCGAACTGAGGACATTGGTACTCTTAAGGTGAGTCATGCCACAGGTTTCAGGAAGTATGTGTTCTGAATAGATAACTTACCAGCCATAATATACGCTGACTGCCTGTCTGTGTCACTAGATGGCCTTGCAGACAGGCCGAGAGCCTCCACCTATCTGGAGGGTGCAAAAAGCTTTGCTCCAGAAATTCAGCCCAGAGATCAAAGATGGTCAAAGGCAGTTCTGTGCAACAAGCAATGTGAGTTTTTCAAAAAGACGTAGTGTATGTTTAAGGACATAAACTGTTGGTGGACAGCTCTGGGTTCAAAACAGTTCAACCTGGTATTGTTCCCAGAGCCAGTCTCTTTGATGCTTGACTTTTTTCTCTTCTCAGCCTATTAAAACGTAACATTAAAGCAGTTTTCTGTAGAATGGATCATTTTATTCTTTACAACATTAGAATTTTTACAAATATATCTCTTTATGACATATTAATTGTTGTCTGTTCTCTCAGTATTTGGGTTACTTTGGTGATGCCAAAGTGCACTACCAGCGTTTATATGTGAAGTTCTTGGAGAATGTCAACAAAAAAGATTACGTCAGAGTGTGTTCACGAAAGCCATGGCACAGAGCTGGCCTGACTCTGAGGTAAGGCGAGAGAAAGACACTGAGTGGAAAGTGTAACCAGAACTGGCCTGCATCAAGGTTACACTGGATTACCAGGCCCAAACTCCCCCCTCCCATAAAACTTGTTGATGAACTCTCAACACATACATAGACTGAACCACACAAAAACAATTCAGTGACTAATTTCAACATTTTAATTCATCTATGTTTCATGTGCCTGTGCTTAAGACAAACACCAATTAAGTTAGTGTCTCTCCTCATGTCTACTGACTGACAGACGCCAGCCTCTACCTAAACAGCTGCTGACCATTCACAATCAGAGCCAACCTCGAATAGATAGTCGACACAAGCAGAGACGGAATGAAAGAGAGCTATTGGAGCAGAGAGAAAGAGAAAGAAGAGAGAGAGAAACAAGGAAAGTAGAAACGGAACATAAGGAAAGAGAAAGGAAAGAGGAGAGCAAAGAACAAGAAGAAGAGAGGCACAAGAAAGAAAAAGATGAGAGGGGTCACAGAGATGTGAAAATGGAAAGGAAGAAGGAAAGTGAGAGTGAAAGAAGGGAGAAGGAGAAAAAAGAAAGGGAACTTAAAGAGAGGCAGCAAAGGAAAAAGGAAAAACAGGATAGGGAGCAGAGGGAAAGGATGAACCAAGAGAGAGAATGGAAAGAAAAGGAAAGAT